TTTTTTATTTTACGCACGCGTTTTCGGCTTTTTAAAAGGTTTTTTTTCGGGTTTTTTTGACTTCTTGGTTTTTACCTGTCTTCTCTAGCTTTTCGACAAAAAAAAATCAAAAAAAAAATTTTGTGCAAAAAAAAATTTTTTTTCGCGAGAGTCACGATTTTGTTTTCGCGAGAGGCACGGGCGTGCCTCTTTCGGAAAGGGAAAAAAACGCGTTTTCTGTTTTTTTTTTCTTTCGCGAGAGGCACGGTTTTGCTTCCGCCAGAGACATGGTTGTGCTTTCGCGAGAGGCATGGGCGTGCCTCTTTCGGAAAGGGAAAAAAACGCGTTTTCTGTTTTTTTCCTTTCGCGAGAGGCACGGTTTTGCTTTCACCAGAGGCACGGTTGTGCTTTCGCGAGAGGCACGGGCGTGCCTCTTTCGGAAAGGGAAAAAAACATGTTTTCTGATTTTTTTTTCTTTCGCAAGAGGCACGATTTTGTTTCCGATAGAGGCACGTTTGTGCTTTCGCGAGAGGCACGGACGTGCCTCTTTCGAAAAAGGAAAAAAAACATGTTTTCTGTTTTTTTCTTTCGTGAGAGGCATGGTTTTGTTTTCGCGAGAGGCACGGTTGTGATTTCGTCAGAGGCACGGGCGTGCCTCTTTCGGAAAGGGAAAAAAACTCAAGTTTCCGGTTCGGTTTTTTCGTCGGTTTTTTTATCTGGTTTTTTCGTGAAAAAAAAGTTCATCAAAACCTATCAACATGGGATCTAGTTTTGAAGATCTCGACGCGAGGAATCCAATGACGAAAGCGGTTCAAGATTTGGACGCACGGTTTAAGAGATAAAACATTTTGAATAAACGGATCTACGAAAAAAAGGGAAACTCACAGATTGCGACAAGTGGTGCACATGCAGCGCGCCACTTGTCACAACCTGGGAAAGTTGGAGTGATCTCCGCAAGGAGTACTCCTTAATTAGTGATTTCGGCGAACAGCAGGCCCGCCTCACCTGCAGCACTTCTACATGGGCTTACACGTGGTGTGGCTTTACCTCAAAAGAAATAAAATTGGGTGTGGCTTATTAAGTGATACAATTTCTTCTGTCTCAGGAAAAAAACTAAAAAAAGAAGATGATCTCTCTGAAAAAAAAATTAAAAAGGTGATACAATTCCCCCAAAAAAATAAGATGCACAATTTTCTTTACATATCTCAAAATATATGTCCTTACTAATTTTATGGTAAAAATGTTTATGTGATGGGAGAAACAATATTTGCATCTCCACAAAAAAGAACATTCATGTATATTAAAATAAATATTCATGTATTTCAGAAAAAAAAACATTCATATATTTCTACAAAAAATGTACATAAATATTCATGTGTTGCAAAAAAACAGTTTGTATATAACAAAAATAAGATGTACATGCATTCTTACAAAAATGCTCGTGTATTTCATATAAATGTTCTTCTATGTTAAAAGAAAATATTGGTATGTCTTAAGTGAGGTGTTCATGTTTTTTTTTAAATGTGCCAGTGTTCCACAAAAAAAAACTGTACATTTCATAAAGAAATATTCATGTGTTTACCCCCAAGTAGTGATTTTACAGAAGATTAATTGAAAAAATAACTAAATATTTTGAAGTGAAAAGAAGAAAAATGTATGTATATCATAGAAAAATTGTCTATGTATTTACAAAAAAAATAAGGTGGATATAATCCAAACGTTTTTACATCGTAACAGAAGAACATGGAAATATTACGATCACAAAATAATGTTAAGATGCCATGCAGTGTAATTAGTAATTACTGAACATAGAAGAACCGATTGAGCACTCACTACAGCTTCACCGGTGCATATTCTCCTTTTGGAATAGATATTTTTGAAAACACAAATGACCACAGAAAAGATGAAATACACTAACAGCAAGGGACAACCAAAACATCCCATGAACCTTGGAGATGCCCATTTCATTATGCGAAACTAAAAGGGAGATAAAACGACGCTGATAGATATCTCAAACTACGTTAGAATATAAGGATATTATGCGGAGATTAAGTATATTTTGTGGGGTAAAAAATACTCCACTCTTCATGTAGTGAGATGTTTGGTCAGGTCCTATAACGAGCAAAGTACACATATCCTTGTCTGGTTTGTCAACAACACACTTCGGTTCCATCGAAGAACAGAGATTATTGGCAAACAGAAATAACCAAAGCAAAGGTGGAATAGAGTAGCAATAGAGAACCAAAACATCTCAGGTAAAATCCTGGAGATGTCCATTTCATTCTGCGGAACTAATAGCTAGATACAGGTCAGCAGATAGATATCTCAAACTATGTGCTCGGCCAGTGCCAGGATCTTGAGATGCTTCTTCTTCCTGAGCTCATGGGGGACAGGACCAAAGACGCGGGTGCCAATCAGCTCGCCCTTGTTGTTCACAATGACGATTGCATTGTCATCGAACTGGACCTCGCTGCCATCGCTGCGTCCCTTCTTCATGGCAGCACGGACAACCACCCCATAGACCACGTCTCCTTTCTTGACCTTACCACGAGGCTGCGCTTCCTTGACAGAGCCGATGATCATGTCCCCGAGCCTCGCTCCTTTCTTCCCCCTAAGGGACTGTATGCACATAACCCGCTTGGCTCCGGAGTTGTCGACCACCTTGAGGTTTGTTCTCATCTGGATGAATGTTCTGATTTGCTGAAACCAGAGCAGGAATGCGTGTTACCACCACTCTCTACTTGGAAAACATCTGTGGCTAGATAAACAAGTACCTCAAGAAAATTATGCATACTCAGTTCAAGCAATTACCCTGTTAGTTTTGCATCATTTCAAACTCTTACATTATGGCCCTCTTCCAGTTTAGAGAAAACGGAGCAAAGAAAAATGCTTAGAGAATGCCTCATGAAAAGAACTCCAAAGAATGGAGTTCAGCAAGTCACAGATATCTAGCTTGTAACCCCATTGTAGACAATTAAGGCAACCAAAGAAAAATCCCAGATCTTGGCAGCAATAGTAACACAAGCTATTCAACGATTTAACAAACTACCTAGGTAATACCGGATCATCGATATCATCGGAGCAATAGAAGATATACACATTGTATGGAACTTTTGAGTGCTCACGACAAAAAGTTACCACGTGACTTAAAAAGGTCATGTTGGTTCTTATGACTGACAAAACAAGCATTTGTGGTTTGAAGGAAGCATCAATACCTGGCAGAGGGCATCAGAACGGGATGGTCTTGCCACCGTTTCAATAGACGAGGTAGCGCCCCCGTACAGATTGTTTCCAAGGCTTCCCATCATAGCACGCCCAACTACATAGACCAAGAAAAGTGTTTGCGTCATGTTATTTTGCTAAGCATCACAAACCAAAAGCAACTGGTCACATTTCAAAGGAATCCTGAGAAAAGATTTGACTAGAGATACAGGCTTCCCTGATACTCCCACCTGATCATTTTCTTATGGAGAGGTGTTTAAGCATTTAAGTTATAGAGTTAGCCATAATCACCATATGATGACATCCCTATAAGCATTTAAGTTATAGTTGTTTAATCTTTTTTTAGGCAAACACATAGTCTGAAGTTTGGAGTGGCTAAGGCTCAAGTAGCAGACCATTCAGACCGAGGTTTAACTAGCAGTCATGATTTTTCTCCAAGGTATTAACATACCATGTTCTTCTCGCACCAATGCCGCCAATCACAGATTGCATGCGAGCAATTTCGATCTTTGCAAAGATTAATACAACTGATAACACAAAAACATGACATGTGGCGAAGATGCATGTTCGATCGAATTCCATATAAACTGACTATTATCTGCTACAATATCAAGTAACTGCTAGGAATGTCAAGTTTGGACCGCCTAAGGTGGTCAAGTAGCAAGACTTTGAGAAGGCTCAGAAGTTGGGTACCTGAGGAACACTTTGACCTGAGGAGTGCTGCCATTTTGCGTTGCCCTCCTCTCTCCTACGCTTTCCTGCAGAAGAAAATGGCTCGAATTTTACAGCAACACCACCACGGATCAATGCGCCTAGCATCAGGGCCGGTGGAACCAAATCTGGCGCGCGCAGAAAGGAATCGAAACGAACGGCAAACCAGGCAGGGCTAGGGATTCCTTACACCAAAAGGGCTCAGGCAACCGGACGGATCTCCGCTCCGCGCTGGTCCGGTGGAAGGGAGCGGGGGAGGAGGACGGCGCCGTCGAGGAAGGGGAGCTCGAGGCGGCCGCTCCGGTGGAAGGACGAGGAGGGGGAGAGAAGGCTGGGTTTCTGCCGGCGGCGCGCGACCTAATCTCCAACGGCCTGGGTGAAACGGTAGCAGGGCCCGGCCCGGCCCAGCCCGACACGTCAGGCCTCTGTAAACACTTCGGG